GCTGCTCTTGCCTGGGTGAGGGGCACCCTGCCCATTGCTGAGTGTTGAGTGGTCCTTCGCAGCCCAGGAGCCAAAAATCACCGGTTCATGCAATCCTGCTGTTAATCTGAGGGGGGGGGCTGTGTCCGGCGCTGCGACAGCGATGCACGGATTTGCTGTGCTGGAGTCACGCAACAGCAATCGTGCTACATGGCGTACGGTAGCGTTATTTGTGCACTGATGTGAAGTGAGTACATAAACAGTGAGAAAAAGCCTCTGTCCTCGCGATTTCCCTTCCAGCCCAACGGAGAAATAAAGGCATTTCTGTACCTAAGGCTCTGCTGATTTTGGTGTTAGCAGTGGGACTTCAGGCAGCTGCTTTGCAGCGAGCAGTGTGCTGCGGGGTGGCCAGTCTCTGGGCTCAGGGGGGTTTCTTGCCCGAGTGCATCACTGGCCCAGCTGTCACCTCTGGGGCTGCAATTTGGCCAACTGGCCCTGCACATCCTTCCCTTGGGGTATAAAACCCCGCTGGCTCCTGCCCGAGGCCAGACCCGGGCAGTTTGTCCTTGCTGGGGAGCCCCACAGAACATCTGCCCCTCTGTTCATCCATCTCCCATAACAAGAAATCCCCACCATGGCATCCAGTGTGCTGCCGGGGCGCTTGCCGGCCCCATCGCCCTTCCAGCAGCACTGTAACACCTCAGCCATGCCACTGCCATTCCCATCGCTTGCCCCCACACACAAGCCAGGCTGGGCTGCTATTGGAGCCGTGCCGCCGATGATGCCCAAAGTTAATCACTGTTTATGCAATTGCAGGTTCCTTTTTCTGTCCGAGAAGCTGCTAAAATGGCTGCACTTGGCAACACGCCGGAGTAAAGGGCACAGTGAGAGCGGCGTTGAGCCTGGCAGGGAGTGGTGTGGCCCTGGCACTCGTGGGAGGGGACTCCCCGCTGGCGCTGCGCCCACTGAGCTGCGACAGCAGCGGGGAAGGGCCGTGCAGAGCGCCTGCTCCCCTTCCCTCTGCACAGCCACAGGCAGGGAAGGGGCAGGTCCCCTTTTGGGCTGTAGACTTGGTTCTTAGGGATCAGTGCATGGGTGATTGATGCTGGGACCAGCAGGACAAGGATTACACTGTGTATCTCACTGGTGGTGTCAGCAGCACCAGCTGTCAGGGCTCTGCCTTGCCAAAATTTGTGCTCTCCGGTGGAAAGGATAAAAAATTGCATGTGCCCATTACACCACACACCAGGGCATCAGGCCCCGGTGCTCCCAGCGATGCTGTGCCAGGCAGCCTGGTGCCAGTGCTACAGGGACATGGAGAGTTAAGCAGCCTGGGGCAGTGGTTTGCCTGCAGTTTCCCAGGCATGGGGCATCATCCACAGTACCCCCAAAGGCTCAGGGACCTCCTGTGCAGCCCACCCGGCTCAGAGTGAAAGGAGTCGCATGGCTGTGGCAGCCTGGACCGGGCGACTTGCCCCCGGAATTGCCGTGGCATGTCACACCCCACGTCTGATGGACTGCAGCGATGCTCCAGGGAGCTCGGGCTCAGCTCATGCCGTTGCCTGGCAAACGGGGGGGTTGGTTTTGGGGTCTCGCTCCTGGCAGGGCTGGGACTGGCGGGCTTGCAGTTCCGTGAAGAACCTGGCGTGGTGGCCAGCCACCTCCATCCTCAGCCCTGACCTCGTCCTTGTCCACACCGTTAAGCAACAGCCATGAGCAAGGCCTGGGCACCATCTAGTGGAATAAAAAGCCTTTTGCTGGGACCGTTTCGTGCCTGTCGAATGATGCCCAGCCCTGCCTGGCGCCGGGGCAGGCGCTGCCTCTCTTCCCTCTGCTTCCACAAGCTCCGGGGGAACCCTGCCCGAATGGCAAAGTCAGGCACAAAACTGGCTAGTTCAGGTATAAATGGCGTACATTTATGAAACAGCTCTACCTCCTTGCACAGCTGCTGTTAAAGCACCTGGAATTTTTGTGCGATGATCCTGCCTCTACGTCCTGGGGCATGTGGCATTTTGGGATGCTCACCCCAAGCCCCTCCTCACAACCACCGAGGTGCCTGGCTCTGCTCTTCCAAAACTGGCTTGTCAAATAGCACAAGCGGCCACTGAATGGACAAACTGCAAGTTTCCCGAGGGAAGGGTTTTGCTGGTGTACTGGAGCAAAGTGGGGAGGTGGTTTTTCCTCGCAGTGAAGGCTGGGCTGATGAGCGCTGGCAGGTTAGGAGCTGGCAGGGCAGGAGCTGGCAGGGCAGCTCGCCGCCACCCGTCATAGCCTGACACCCACAGCAAGCTTACAGCTGGGCTAGATCTGGCCACCAGGTCTGGGAGGTGTACCTCTGTGGCTCTCTGGTCCTTGGCTCTGCTAAGCTGTGCATTTTTCAGGAAAAGCTTTAATTTAGGCCTTTAATATATATGCATTTACTTCCTGTTCCCATGTGTTTTTTTGATTTTACTGAAGGGCAGCAGCAATTTATTAACAGGCATTTCTTCACGTGGGGACAGCAGAGGCTGTTGCTGAAGTGCTTTAGGGTCACGCATCCTGTGAGCGATCCCAAGTGAAGAGTGATATGCACGCTACAGTACTTTCTGAGGGTGTGCAAGTGGAATGAAATTGCCCCTAAAATTCCCAGCTTCCCTTACAAATATTAGTTGTGGCAATGTGGCCAGGTGAGTATGGGTGGTTGTTTATTCAGGGAAATGTTGTGCTTAGAGCAGAAACATCTGCTGTTGTGGGCTATCACTGATTTCTAGTGCCTAGAAGCCCTGTCACGTGAGGTGCAGAGGGTTTTCTGCAGCAGCTGTGGCAGTGGAAACCCCTCAGATTTTGCAAAAGCAGATTTCTGTTAATGTTGCTTTTGCACATGGGTCGGTGTGCACAGCAGTACTGGAAAAAGCTGGCACTGGCTGGAAAAGGGGTCAGCTCCCACACATGTCAGATGAGCCAGATGAGGGGGAGGGTGAGCCGTGACCCCTAACTGGGGATGGCCACAGCAGGCCAGCTGGGCAAGGCTCAGGTCAGGTACTTTCTCCACAGCAGACACAGCTGCAAAGGTTTTCCAGTAATGTATCTTGCAGCAGCATCCTCCCTAGGGAAATCTGCTGACCCCAGCCTTTGGGAATTTAGCCCCTTAGGGGAGCATCCTTGTTTCCTCCAGGATGGCAGTGACTGGCTGTGAGCTGGACCTTGCCCTAGGCACTGGTACCAGCCCCTTTACAAACCCACCCCCAGCCTTGCCTGGGGAGCCGTGAGTGCATCACGGTTCAACACCGCAGCTGGCAACTAAGCCCCAGACAGATGCTCACTCATCCCTCACCTACCCCTGGGGGCAGTGGGATGTGGAGGACAAATGGACAAAAGGTAAGGCTCGTGGGTTGAGACAAAGATAGTTTAGTAAGACAACAAAGGAAATTATAATGATGAATATACAAAACAAATAATACAATTTTCTCACGGCCTGATGACCTATCTGCAGCTGCTTCCCAAGCAGCGATCATGGAACCGAACACAGCATTTCATGAATTTCATGGAACTCCTGAAGAAGACTGAACTCCCAGGAAAGTTCAAACTCCTACACAAGAGAGGATTTGAATTCATGGAAAACAGAGGAGATTCCTGCCCTGCAGCCAACCATGATTTATATACTCAGCATAGAGCCCATGGTATGGAATATTTCCATTGGCCAGCTTGGGCTAGCTGCCTGGTTGTGCTCCCTCCCAGCTCCTGCACACCTGCTTATTAGCTGAACATGGGAGACTGGAAAACATCCTTGATTTCTTAGCAACAACTAAAAACATCAGTGTTATCAACATTCTTCTCATACCAAATCCAAAACACAGCAGCTACTTGGAGAGAAAATTATTCCAGCCGAAACCAGCACAGGGTGCCAAGGCCATGGGAGCAGCATCTGTGGTCCCAGTGGTGGGGCTGGCAGCAGTGCAGGTACCAACACCAGCAGTGGGGTGTGAGCAGGGCACTGTCTCCCCGGGTTTGCTGGGCAGCGAGGAAGCAAGGGCCAGCCTGCCCTGCCTTTCCTGAGCCCTCCAGGACTAGGGCAGGCTTTTACCTGGGCAGGTTGGGGATGGGGAACCTGGCTGACTCCCCAGTGTCTTTGCTGCAAAGAGAGGAGGAGGGAACGACAACAAAAAAACCTAAACCTTTGCTACTCACCTTAAAAACCATTCTCTTTGTAATTACTCTTTGTGATTTTCTGCCTTGTGGCTGCATGAGGGCTTATATGACAAAGTGAGCTGCTCTGCCCTGTGTGTGTTCAGCATGCTGCAGCAGGACCTCGTGTGGCGTGGGCTTGCTAGTGCCTCGCAGGTATCCTTGACTTCCTGGGCATGCTAGGTGAGTTATCACCTCTCTTCTCCATCACAGTCTGTAACGTGGTCTCAGTCACCTCCCAATGATTTGTTAATCTGGCAGTGATGATGCTGTAACCTAGGTAATTAGGAAGCTGTTGCCCTGGAGCCATAGGTCTAGATGACTTTGAGCCCTTGGACAAATTAGTGCAAAGGAATGTCACTGGGGTTTCAGAAAAATGGTTACTAACTTTCAGCCTCTTTCAGCTCTTGGAGGATACAGAGGCATTTTTATAAAGTGAAGGGCTTTCACCTGCCTTATGTTGTGACTTGTATAGTTCTGCAGAAGTGAGAATTAAACCACCTCTTCTCTTCAGGGCAAGAAGTGCTTTTTCACTGGATGTGAAGGGCAGAAAAAGTCAGGCCTTTGTGGAACTGTAAAAAGCTAGCAGAGGCTTTGGTATGCAGCTCCAGGTACTGATAGCAAGATCCACAGCCTATATAGAATCATAGAATGGTAAGGGTTGGAAGGGGCCTTAAAGATCATCTGGTTCCAACCCCCCTGCCATGAGCAGGGACATCTTCCACTAG